AGACCCATCTGTACTAGGATCCAGTCGTAAAAGTGCTGAGTGGAGGTGTAGACTCCGGGCCGTTTTGCTCTCGCACAGCCTTTCCCCCAGCTGGTCACTCCAACAAGCCAGAAGTAGTCAGCATTGTTATCTTTGCACACAAGAGGACCACCACTGTCACCCTGCAGCGGAGGAGAGAGGATTGAGGGGGTGTTGCGTGGCCTGTGTCAGCAGTATGGCTGGCTCCTTCTCTCTCACAGCACCTGCCAGAGCAGTATCCACTGCACAGAAAGGCTCCACTCAGGTGCTGGAGCCTACAGAACCTTGTCTGGGAGGAGGTTGTGGGCCTGTAAGGTAGGGCTCGCTCTCATCTCTGCACAGTCATCCTGGATGTGTGGCAGAGGGGTGTTCCAGGATTGGGATCTGGGCCTATGGGCTGCTAAGAGCACTGGATGGACTTTCTGGGCAGAGTCCCAGGCCTCTGGGACAAGGGAGCACTGGGCAAGGAACTGCAGATGGGCAGGGGAAGGTGAGCCCCAACAGTGGTGGGCACCCAGCAGTGGCAGGGTGACTTGCCAGGCAAAGCGCGCGCAGGGGTGTTTGGGCGGTTGTGACAGGGCTGCCCGGGCTGCTGGGGGTTGACCTGTAGCACGCTCCTACCTGGCAGGTGTCGATGCCACCCTGCGGATAGCCAGCGCACAAGTTGTGGGTGTGGATGGCTCCCCTATACCACCGGCTGCTGTTACAGAGGTTGACATCAATGAGGGGGACCTTGGCCTCCTGCAGGACATCAGTTGATCCTCCAGCTGTGAGCACAGAAAGGAATCAACACCCAGCAGCAGCTCGTTGCCAGTTCTCCTCCCCTGTCTCAGTGGACCCTTCCCTAGAGCTTGGCTTTGCATCTTGAAGGCACTGTACCAGTGTTTCCCTTCTGTCTTGCTTCGGGTAATGGGTCAGGCCCATCTCCCTATAGGCATACGTCCCCACAGCCTGACTCTGGCTTTCGCTCTGCTCTCAGGAAGCCCAACCCGACTCCCCAGCATGCCAAGCTTGCGCTCGAGACACAGGTACTTTTTGGGAACTCACATCTGGCAGTCGTGGAACCCCAACCACTGACGTAGCAGGTTGTCAGCTCTGACACTCTCAGCGAGGCATCGGGCACACAGGCAAGCTGTATGTAGTAGCTGCACTGGACAGGCTGGTCCAATTCCAGCAACGCAATGTCGTTCCTCTCCGAGATATTACTATAGCGTTCGTGAACCAGTAGCCGCTTAATGGTGCGCACTTGGGCCTCGGGGCCCAGCTGAGTCAACTGGGTGGCCCCAATCACCACACGCCACATCGTGATGTGCCTGGAAGGCAGATGAGTGGTCAGAGGGAGCGGAGCCATGTACTGCAGCAGCCCAGCAGTTCACAGTATCACAGAATCACAGAATCACAGAACCACAGAATCACTAAGGTTGGAAAAGGACGTTCAAGATCATCAAGTCCAACCATTAATCCAGCAATGTTTCCTGCCTTCTGCTTCACAAGGGACAGAGGACAGCAGCGCTACGGAGGGTGCGACTGCCCTAGCGTGCCTTAGGCTCAAGGAACATCAGGCTGGAGGCTGCTAGGAAGCAGTGGCATGAGCCCAGCCTTCCCCTGAGCAGTCTCTTGGCTGGGCTCGTGTGAGCCCAGGCACTGGGCGTGCTGCAAGGGAACGGGATGGGAGTAGCACGTGGTGCTGTGGACAGGGCACCTGCTAGTGTTGTGGGGATATCCCCATTCCCTGGTCCTCCTTACCTGGCCTCGATGAAGCAGTGGGCTGCTGTGACGACCCACTGTGAGCTGATGAGGGACCCTCCGCATATATGTCCCGTGCCTACTTTCCAGGGATCCTGGATGCTGACAATCCACGGCCAGGCCCCTGGCTGGGCATCTCTGCCACCCAC